CACAAGTCCGTCTGCCTAGGAGAGAGCCAGCCTCCTGTCTGCAGCATTGCCGGGAGTGAGCTACAGATGGAAGTGTCTCTCGATCTCCTGTCTGTCAGAATGTTAACGCTGGTTACCAGCTAACTCTCTGACTGGAGTAAAACATTTACCACGTGGTATGCAGCTCACTCCCGGCGGAGCTGCAGACCAGAGAGCCTGACTACTGGGGAGAAGGGGTGCACACAGTACCACCAGTGAAGGTATTTATGAACCCACTCACCCTGTTCCTTATATGAAATTATTGAGAGGCTATTGCACATGAGCTGCAAAAAGCTGCACTACGCAAATCGTCATCTCCTCGTGTTGTTTTTTCGGCACACTTGTTTGTATTGTTGTATGCTAATAAATAAAAATTACACTTTAATTACAAGAGCGTTGTAAATGTGGTTTATTTATTTATTATTTTTTTTTGTATTTTATTCATTGTAGAGCTCTCACTAAATTGGTGAATGAAAATCAAGATAACTGGGATGTATATTTGGATGTATTCATTGTTTTCCATAAGGTCGAAGGTCCAAACCACTACCAAATATTCACCTTTTTTTTTTTTTTTTTTTTTTTTTCTTTATTTTTCTTGTGCATAAGAAAACATAACAGGCCTGTAGTGCCATGACAGCTAGTACAGGCATTTCAATAGCAAACAATGTCATAGCAGAGTAATACAGCACATTTTTATATTTATGAGAAAACAGGCTAGAAATACTTGAGTATGACTTAGATAGTGTAGTCAGTCTACGTATGCATGTTTGTATATTTGTGGTAGCATAACACAATGTTTAATCATGACCTGCCCGGGGGGGGGTCTCGACATTTACTCGTATGCATGGATACTCGTAGACACCCCTATCTACTAAATATGACTACCATTTTATGATGTTATAGAAACAAGATGGCCTCAAGCTATGCCGTCATGTCTAACTACGAGAGTAATGCAAGGAGGGCCTAGTACATTATATTAGATTTGTTATGCTTGTTAATTGTTGGGAGCCGAGACTTCTAGCTAGACATTTTAATATATACTAGTGTAACTGTAAGTAAACATGCTATCGAGTTAGTGCACCCCTGAGTGCATTATTAGTAGTACGCCGTGCTGCAGTGTCATTAGACAGTTTGAGGAGAGAGAGCAGGAATGATAAGCTAGTTATAAAAAGAACATAATACACAAGTTTTTGTGCATGGTATTTAAGGACAAAAATAGCGTCTCAGGTCGTTGCATTTAAAGACAGAAATAGCGTCTCATGTCGTTAAGGAGAAAGTCCAGCCCGGTGTCAGTCCCATAAGCTAGCTTAGCCGATTCCGTCAGGTGGTGGGGTAGCTGGTTCACTGGAGTTGGTGGCCCTGTGAGGCGCGTTGTCTCCTCGGCCCCAGGATTGCAGGATCGCCGGCATCTGTGAACCGCAGACTTGGATTCGCCGAGGGACCATGATTTTCCCCATCTCAGGGGTGGCGGAGGTAGTGAGGATTTGTCTCAGCCGGTGCGCGGATCTCCGCCTGCGTGGACGATGTTTGGAGGACTTGCCTCGTGTGGCTCTCCGCCTGGGTGAGCGGTAGTGAGGTCTCGGGAGCGTTGTTTTATATGTGGTGCCCTGAGGAGGCTTTACCATGCTGGAGTGCTTCATTCTCCGGTTTCCCTTCGGCGGCACTGAGTTGTGAGCCGTGGCTTGCAGACGGGCTTGTACCCTAAGCCAAAAGGCCTGGAAGATTTGATCCAGCCGCCTCGATGTGTAGGTATAGGCGTCGCTGAGTGTCCCCTCCATTGCAGCTGTGCCACGTGTTGTCGTGCGGGCTGCGTCCGCCATTGTGGGAATATGGATGTCTGTGTGCTCTGCTGCAGGGGTAACGTTTTTGCAGCTAACTGCTCTCCGGGTGGGACCGGGATATCCCCCGCCGGTCCAGAGGGGGGGGGGTGTGGAGTCGTGCTTATCTTAGCTTTATTCAGCGGAAGGAGAGCGGCCGTCTCTCCCTCGGTCTGAGTCCAGTAGGCCTCAACCTGCCGTTGCGGTTCCTGTCGCCTTATGGTGTTGATTAAGGTATCCACCTGTAGGGTTAGGTGCCCCCAGCTTGGGAATCCCCTTGAGTAGAGGTCACCAGGTTGTCAACCCAGGATATCACCGGGTATTCGGCATTAACAGCAGGAGCTTGTGTGATGCACGTCTTGCCTGCTTGCAGTCCAGGCTCCGCCCCCCTTCACCTTTTCTTTTGATGTATGGGAGGGAGGCCGTTTTCCCAGCCGAAGTTCCTGTTGAACTGCCAGTGAGTTGTAGCTGTTTTTTTTCTGTCTCCGCTAAGTGAAATATGTGCGTAAAGTATGTGTAATAATTGTTTATTATATACAGATCTCGCCTCATTCTGCTTGCTTAAAGGGACACTCTAGTCACCCAGACCACTTCTGCTCATTGGAGTGGTCTGGGTGCCAACTCCCACTACTCTTAACCCTGCAAGTGTAATTATTGCATTTTTTTCTAAACTGCAATAATTACCTTGCAGGGTTAACTCCACTTCTAGTGGCTGTCTATTAGACTGTCTATTAGACAGCCACTAGAGGTCACTTCCTGGTTTCTAGCACTGCTAGAGCGTCGCTGGACATCCTCACACTGTGTGAGGGCCTCCAGCATCGCTCAAAACCCCATAGGAAAGCATTGAAATGATTTTTCAATGCTTTCCTATGGGGAGACGTAATGCGCATGTGCATTAGGTCCCCTCGTCTGGTGGGCGAGATCAGTCTCGCCCACCGGCCGACGCAATGGATAGGAGGGAGGGAAATCGCCGCTGCCTCAGGTAAGTGACTGAAGGGGTTTTTACACCTTCAGTAACCGGGGATTGGGGGGTGGGAGGGAGAGGGACCCTCCAGTGCCAGAAAAACTGATTGTTTTCATGGCACTGGAGATTCCCTTTAATTCAACATAAGTTGCACATAAGATTCTTTTAACATTGGACAGTTATTTGTTAGTTAACTATTAGCTGATCAAGTTTGCTGCTATAACCATATTTAAAGATAGTGTGCACATGTGACTAATCCAAATATATTTCATAATTCATAAACATTTCAATCTTGAAAATTATCAGTTCTGTTTTCCACTAATATCTGTATGACTGTACACTTAAAGATACTTTTTTTTATTTTTATTTTCAAAATTAACATTCTTTAAGTTACTATTTAGTTGACATTTTGGTGTGTGTAAACATATAAATATATTTTAACAATTTCCACAGCTTTCGAACATCATCTTTCCGGAGGAGAAGCATTATGTAACCTTTCTAAATGAGAAGAAGGCATCAATGGAGAAAATAAATGAAACGACCAAGGAAAACATAGAAAAATCACAGGAGAAGCAGAAAAAGACATATGCGAAGAAGGTGTTGAAGAAAAACAAGGATGTGATGTACAGTGTTGGTGACGAGGTCCTTCTTTATAATATGAGGAAGCGTGGTAGGAAAGGAGGGAGGATAGAGCCGGACTTCTCTGGTCCCTATATTCTCAAGGAGTTGTGTGGCAAGGTGGTGAAATTGGAGAATTCGTGTGGAGTTACTATAAAGAAAAAGATCAGCATCGACCACATCAAGCCATACAGGAGGAGTGAGGAAAACAAAGCCCACAGCCACAAAGGTGATATTGAATTGCCCAAGGAAATCGGCACCTGCGTCTCCTCCATACCACCAAGGACCTCTGTCATCTGTTTTGCTACACCGGAAAAGGAGGTAACGCCAAATTTACAACCAGACTATAATTTATAATTTTTCTATTGTGCATATAGCGAGCCTTGTTCTTTTTCATCATCCTATTCTTCATTTATGTAGTATTTTTATTTTCAATTAATGTTAAATGTAAGTGATTAACATTAATCTTGACTTTCTTTTCCAAAGTCATCTGCATCTTTGATTGTCATGCAAAGCATAGAAGACAGAGGTAGCAGTTACTGGGTTCTTTTTTTTTTTTTTTTACCCTGTTGGTCATTTGTTTGGCCATGCCCTGTTGGTCTGGTCTTTCACTCTGTTGCCGTTCTGGCTTTTTTTTTTTTCTTTGTTAAAGTTGCCACTGTTTGGCATCGTGTTCTATCCAGTTCTCGTTATTAACCATACATGTTTGATATTATACCAAAGAACCTATACAGGTTGAGTTATCCCCTTGTCAGAAATGCCTCAACATTTATTTTTCAATACTTAATTTTAAGATAAGGCATACTCAACCTGTATTAGCTTTGGATCCAGAATGTACAGTTACATACCTGGAGTTAAATTTTCTTCCTGTATTTTTTTTTTTAGTTAAAAGCCTGTGGGAAGCTGAAGATGACGGATCTGTGGAAGCAGTTGTGGGACCATACAAGCTGTATGTTTCTTCGTTCCGTACACTGCATGGTAATAATTGGCTGGTTGATGAGGTAAGAAAATAAAGTGTTATTCATTAGTGTAATGCTAAAATATAAAAAAAAATATTTAATAATTGATGATTTTTTTTTTTATGCAGGTGATTGATGCATTCATTCATCATCTTATTGTGAAGCATCAGGCAAGTGTGAATTATGTTTATTTCTGGGTTATGTTAGTTGAGTTATTATTTTGCATTATAATTTTCCCTCTATTGAAACAGGAACCTGTTCGACAGTTTGATGCGGTACTGTCATCTGTATTATTTTATGGTGCAATAGAAAATCTTGGAAAGGTTAGTGACTTGTTAGAATTCCATTTTTATAATATTGAATATATCTATTTATAATTAATTACTTATTTGGCTTTCTAACTTATTCTTCAGATGAAGTTTCCAGTCGAAGATCTGTGGTTATGCCCTATAAACGTTGGAGCTCACTGGATTTTATTGGTATTTATTATTAAAATAATTTAATTTCCCTTTCTTTACTTATGTTGCCATGCACTATTAAATTCTATGCATATTCTATGTAAATATATTTAACTACAATCCTATGACACCACAATGCTCATTTACTCTATATAGTGTTGGCAAAAAGTAGGTATACAGTAGAATGATATATAATAGTGCAATACTGTATTTAATGGTTAACAATTATTGAGTACAGTAATGCAGTCACAAACACATATTGATAGAATGCTCAAAACTCATAAGTGGCGGTGATCTCCGGTCTTCTCATTCCGATATCCCAATAAAATTCATGTGGAACGAGGGGGAAAAAAGATACATAGAGTATATCCTTATGGTAAAGAGAACATTTATTCCAAAACTTACAATCAGGTAAAAAATAGTCAAATCACCAACTCCATTGAAGAATCCACCAGGGAAATAATCAGGGTACTGGAATTGATATAAATATAAAAACAATAAATCAATATACAGTCCTAGGCGTTTCGTCCAGTCATATGGACTTTGTCAGGGACAATGCAAAACAATCGGTTATATAATCAGTTTACTTACTGATGATCACTGATATTTAAACGACAATTTCTTATGTTGTGACGTTCATTGATCACACTGTATATTTACTTTTTGGTCCACCTGGTATATTTAAAATATTAATGTAATCACCAAACTTGGATGATTTCACAATATATTTTTTAGGTTGTCATCATGTCCAAGAAGGTCGTTGTGCTAATGGATCCAATGGCAAATGAAAACCGCTATGTTTCAAAAGTGCAACACAACTTGCAGTAAGGGTGCCTCTGAAAACCGTTTTAAGTTCAAATAAGCTTCAATAAACAAGTGATTCCTATTTTTTTTTTTTTTTTAAATCTGTTACTTTTGCCATAGTATCTTCTTGCGGATGTACAAGCCGGATGAACAGCCAGATCAATGGAAAACATGGATAATGTACCACAACAACCAGCAGGATTCTACTAGCTGTGGAGTTTTAATATTGATGGTAAAAAAATTTCTAACATAGTAAAAGACACTCAACAAATGCGATCTGCAGTTACAAATGTGAATTATTATTTTACAGTTTGCCAAGGAGTTCCTACGGACACGTACAATCAGTGAAGTGAAGACCTCTCCAGAATATATAAGGGATGCACGACTGGAAATAGCTTGTGCCTTACTCCAGTATAAAGGTCAGCTCCATCACACAATGTATGAAAGATTTGTCTTGGAAAAATGTGTTCAGACTCCAAATTCACACAGATTAAATCATTGTGCGGGAAACGTGTTTTATTATTAATTCACTCAGAAAATACATATTTGCTTACATTTTAACGTACTGCACCATAATATAACGTAAATATTTTTTTATTCAATTATTTTTGTAGATGCTGTATGAGTCCCTTCAGGATGTAACCCCATATTCACTAGATCTAAACGCATGCAATAAGGTTAGTATACTGTATACTTTTGTACTTGCTACTGACTCTTGTGGCTACAGTTATTCACTCTAACAAATTTTTTTTTCCTTGTTTGACAACTCTGAGCGTTGGGATACCAGGAAGATGAAGGGGTCCATGTTTGCTACTGATGAAGAAGGTAGAGTACTGAACCTAAAGTTGCTAATTTTCTTGATTTCATAGACTTCATTTTTAATCTCCTCCTTTGCCTTTTTAATATGTATTCCCTCTTACTTTTACGATACTTTTTCTGTACTTGCCTCTCTCTCTCGTGCTTACAGTTAATCACTCTAACCATATTTTTTTTTTTCCTTTTTTTTTTTTGGGACAACTCTGAGCACCGTCTCCTGTTGGATACGAGGAAGATGTTTGCTACTGATGAAGAAGGTAGAGTACTGAACCTAAAGTTGCTAATTTTCTTGATTTCATAGACTTCATTTTTAATCTCCTCCTTTGCCTTTTTAATATGTATTCCCTCTTACTTTTACGATACTTTTTCTGTACTTGCCTCTCTCTCTCGTGCTTACAGTTAATCACTCTAACCATATTTTTTTTTTTCCTTTTTTTTTTTTGGGACAACTCTGAGCACCGTCTCCTGTTGGATACGAGGAAGATGTTTGCTACTGATGAAGAAGGTAGAGTACTGAACCTAAAGTTGCTAATTTTCTTGATTTCATAGACTTCATTTTTAATCTCCTCCTTTGCCTTTTTAATATGTATTCCCTCTTACTTTTACGATACTTTTTCTGTACTTGCCTCTCTCTCTCGTGCTTACAGTTAATCACTCTAACCATATTTTTTTTTTTCCTTTTTTTTTTTTGGGACAACTCTGAGCACCGTCTCCTGTTGGATACGAGGAAGATGTTTGCTACTGATGAAGAAGGTAGAGTACTGAACCTAAAGTTGCTAATTTTCTTGATTTCATAGACTTCATTTTTAATCTCCTCCTTTGCCTTTTTAATATGTATTCCCTCTTACTTTTACGATACTTTTTCTGTACTTGCCTCTCTCTCTCGTGCTTACAGTTAATCACTCTAACCATATTTTTTTTTTTCCTTTTTTTTTTTTGGGACAACTCTGAGCACCGTCTCCTGTTGGATACGAGGAAGATGTTTGCTACTGATGAAGAAGGTAGAGTACTGAACCTAAAGTTGCTAATTTTCTTGATTTCATAGACTTCATTTTTAATCTCCTCCTTTGCCTTTTTAATATGTATTCCCTCTTACTTTTACGATACTTTTTCTGTACTTGCCTCTCTCTCTCGTGCTTACAGTTAATCACTCTAACCATATTTTTTTTTTTCCTTTTTTTTTTTTGGGACAACTCTGAGCACCGTCTCCTGTTGGATACGAGGAAGATGTTTGCTACTGATGAAGAAGGTAGAGTACTGAACCTAAAGTTGCTAATTTTCTTGATTTCATAGACTTCATTTTTAATCTCCTCCTTTGCCTTTTTAATATGTATTCCCTCTTACTTTTACGATACTTTTTCTGTACTTGCCTCTCTCTCTCGTGCTTACAGTTAATCACTCTAACCATATTTTTTTTTTTCCTTTTTTTTTTTTGGGACAACTCTGAGCACCGTCTCCTGTTGGATACGAGGAAGATGTTTGCTACTGATGAAGAAGGTAGAGTACTGAACCTAAAGTTGCTAATTTTCTTGATTTCATAGACTTCATTTTTAATCTCCTCCTTTGCCTTTTTAATATGTATTCCCTCTTACTTTTACGATACTTTTTCTGTACTTGCCTCTCTCTCTCGTGCTTACAGTTAATCACTCTAACCATATTTTTTTTTTTCCTTTTTTTTTTTTGGGACAACTCTGAGCACCGTCTCCTGTTGGATACGAGGAAGATGTTTGCTACTGATGAAGAAGGTAGAGTACTGAACCTAAAGTTGCTAATTTTCTTGATTTCATAGACTTCATTTTTAATCTCCTCCTTTGCCTTTTTAATATGTATTCCCTCTTACTTTTACAATACTTTTCCTGTACTTGCCTCTCTCTCTCTCATGCTTACAGTTAATCCCTCTAACCATAATTTTCTTTTCCTTTTTTTTTTTTTGGACAACTCTGAGCACCATCTTGAGGGAGATGAAGGGTACCATGTTTGGTTCCAGTGCCAGAGAGGCCACCATGATGAACCTCAACCTGCTGAAACAGAAAACTTCCTCTGCACTTGGCTGCTTCATAACACATGCTGCAGATATGATGTAACCTTAATTTTCCTGTGATTAACAATGGTGGGTCACCACCAGAGAGATCATGACATTATACCGATATTGCTTTCCTCATGTGATACAGCTTTTTAATTTTTTTACAGGTGCTTAAACTTTCTACATGTTTTGTGGTTAACACAGTCTGTCTTTGCAAGGCAGGTTTTTCTGTTACCCTTTTTCCTTTTTTTTTTTTTTTAATATAGATGTAAACTGTAAACTCCACATTAACGTATAAGAAATAAAGTATATTGGAGAAACCTTGACATGTAGATTGTGTTTCATCAGTGCAATTCTATAGCGTGGGTGATGAAATGGGCATATGAGATGGTGGGTTTCAGAGTCAAAAAGAAACAAACCTCAGTTTCTCTTGTTGAACACAGATTTGAGTTCCTTTTTGTCACTCTTGTTTTTTTTTTTTTTTTTTTGGTGGATACTATATACATTTATAACAGGGTAAAGACTCTTTGCTTTAATGGACCTTGTGAAAGCTGCATACAAAGGACATTTTTAAGTCAAGTAAAAACAAGCAAAGTAATCCACGAATATCCCCATACAGATCCCAATGACTGGACGACTCACAGCATCAGGAGCAGAACTGACTTTTAATCCACACAACCTCCTTATAAAGCATTCTCCCATGCAAGGGAGGGATTCACATTAATCCAATAATGTAACAGTTACCTCCCACACATCTCCTCCCCTCAGTGTGACACTTAATCCCATTACACATGCTGTAGTTTTCCCAGAGTTCTGGATGTACCTTAAAACAAGCAGTGCTAATAATAATTTGGGTAGCCCTGATCTGGGTGACTAACATATCCTAAATTCACCCATATCGGACCAGGGGTTCGGGAGTTAGGTGGAGGGTGTAATTTGACCAACCGCACACGAGGTGGTATCCTAAAAGGGTTTCATGTGTTTTGGCCCTGCGGTCGGTCTCCGTTCGGGAGGTAAAACACACATAAAAAAACTGCCATCCACGATTAACATTACATTCGTATGAATCCCCTTGTTCGGTACTTTAAACTTAACAAACAGGAGGCTGATTATCCTTCCTGTTCAGGAGTTATGGAGCCCTGGAGGTCTCAGCGGTGTTCGGGTAATTGAGTGTCCAATTTGTGTTCCAGACACTTGACGACCAGACACTGCCGAGATTTTCGTGCGTAAGATGGCCACCGCCACGTGTTCGTATTCTGAACGGCGGCCACCCAGATACATGCACAAAGTACCAATTAACCTGCGGTTAGAGAGGTGTGAAGCCTAGTAAGGTACACACTTCTCTCTGGGGTGGTCTATTGGTTCTGTAGTTTCCATTCGGATGGAAACTACCGAACAATCATACGAATCCTACATACAGTTTAACTATATAAACAACACACAAATTGCAGTTTTACCACAGTCACAGTGTAAGCAGTGTTTGGATGATACAGGCGTTTAATTCTCCATGGTTACAGTATTTATGGTTACCTCCTAAGTATTACCGTCACTCACATAGGTTGAATTGGCACATGGATAAACATGTGAGCAGTAACGCCACGTCAAGGCTTCAACCCTTGTTACTGACCATTCACACACCATACTTTTCATTCATATGCATTCGATATTCCAGATGTTTTGGACTACACCTTCCATAATGATTTTCCAGCATTATGGGAGATCTAATTCACAGCATCTGGACTGACTAAGGTTACCTACCTCTGAACTAGGGCGTGATCACAGTACCCAATGTTGAAGTCGCTGTGCAAACAGGAGCAGCTTGTCACGTGCCAGATGACATTACTTATAAATTCAATACTCCACCCTGGAGACGAGCATCAAACATGGGCTTCTTCATTCCACTTCATGTAGTTTGTGTCCCATAGGAGAATGCTTGTAAGAGCTGTGACACACAAAAAAACAACTGGTTAGAGTAACTGGCATAACAAACACAGTGCATGCAGACTTGCGTGCCACATACATACAGCAGACAGACACAAAGATTGTGGGAGACACACCGGAATAAATATAAGAATTGGGAGTACCATGCATACACAATGCACAAAGAGACTGAGATTACTGAATTCGTTGACCGACGGATTTTGTTGCAGATGTGGGGCTGTCCCTCTCGCTGGGGTGCAGTTTCTCATCCTTCTCTGGCGAGTGACTAGATGGCTGCGGTTTCATAGCAAAAAGCATGCCATGGCATATGATATCTAGGAAATAAATATTTTTCTATGAAACTAGGGTTGTACACATCTAACACACGGGCCACACGTACTGTACAGCTCACCATCTAACGCCCCCAAATATAATACACTGCCCCCCCACATGTAAGAAACAGCCCCTCCATCTAACACACAGGCCACCCCAATATACTTCACAGACCCCACAATATACTGCGCAGACCCCCCCTATACAGCGCAGACCCCCCACAATATACTGCGCAGACCCCCCATATACAGCGCAGACCCCCCCTATACAGCACTTGAACCCCCACAATATACAAGCATAGCAGACCCCCATATACAGCGCAGACCCCATATACAAGTAGACCCCCTATATACTGTGCAGACACCCCCTATATACTCTGCAGACCCCCCATATACTGTGCAGACACCTATATACTGTGCAGACACCCCCTATATACTGTGCACAGACCCTATATACTCTGCAGACCCCCATATATGCTGTGCCATACTGTGCAGACACCCTATACAGCATAGACCCTATACGGCGCCAGACCC